AATAAATCATTCCTTTCCTTTTTACGAATCTCTGGCATTAAGAGGAGTCATTCCAAGGTGGCAGACAAGGTAAACCTAAAACAGGGGGACTTCAGGAGAAAACAGGGGTTTATTTGGTAATAGTATTTGTTCCCCTCCACTGGTCCATTCTGTAACACTTTGGCTTCCAGCTTCCTGTATGAAGTTCTTTGTTAGATTGTAATGGCGAGTGCTCTGCCTGTATTTTTCCTCTGGCCACTCATTCCCAGTGGCTACCTAACAAGATTAATCAATACAGAGAAAAGAATGCTGGACCATAAGTCAGGAGGTAAGAATTCTACATCTGGCGGCTGTGTGACAGTTAGAAAATCAATTTAGGTTTGGTCTTCCTCTTCTGTTAAGTAGGAATGTTAAACTAGGATGACTACAATGTTTTTTTCTAGTATTAAGTCTGATTATTCTGTTGCTATGAATATTACATAATTGTGCAAGCTTTAGTGGATACATTAACGAACAAGAAAGAAAAGTACCGTTCCTCTTTCTTTGGGACATGTCTAAAACATAGCCATTAAACAAACACTTAACACAGTTCATTATTATGTTACTTTTATTTCTAGATTTAATGTCATTAGAATATACTCTTTACTAGTTATACTAATTGGAGTGCTTTCAGCTTGAGTCAAAAACTATGTTGTCTTCTCTGACAAGAAATCTGGTGGTAGTAAGTCTTCAGTGTTGGTTAATGCAGAGAAATGGCCTCATTAAGGAGGCAGGTGTACCCGATGTTTTTCTCTTCCATTTTCCCACAGCTGAGTCTTTTCCTATTTGCAGACTACATCAATAATTCCAAGCAGTACATCACGTTAAAGCAACATCTAAAGGGAAGACAGCCGTCTCTTTCCTGTGTCTCTGTTTACCAGATGTTTCCTCGAAGACCCCTCACCCAATTTCCTGTTAATTCTTGAAGTCATAGGAGAGCCAGCAGTTCATCAAATTAGGGATTTTCTTGGTTTTTACATTTTAATTTCCTAAAATATGTTATTTATTTATTTTTAGAGGGGGGAATGGAGGGAGAAAGAGAGGGAGAGAAACATTGCTGTGTGGTTGCCTCTTGCATGCCCCATACTGCCCACAGCCCAGGCATGTGTCCTAGACTGGAAATCAAACTGACAAGCCTTTGGTTCACAGACCTACACTCAATCCACACCAGCCAGGGCTTGTTTTTGATTTAAAGAAGCGGGAAGGAGATGTGAATGAATAGTGGGCAGGCAGCAACAATGTCTGCCATATTTTTTTTCAGAAATTGTATATATATATTCTCAGAAAATATATTGTTTCTACAGTTTCTTATTTGTCTGATGAGATTAACCACCTATTTATTCATGTCCCTTTTTTCTTTTAAGACTTTGAACATGCTGATAATAGTTATTTTAAATCCCCACCTGCTAATTTTAATATATGGGTCATCTCACAGTGTCTATGAACTGCTTTTTGTTTCTGTGCGCGTCTGTTCACTTGAATTTTTGTCAGACATTGCGGATGTCTTATTTTTGAGAGTCTGAATTTTATAGTGTCTTCCTTTAGAGGAAAAATAAAGAGTGTTTTAGCAGGCAGTTAATTTACAAATTGATCAGATTGACTTTTGAAGCTTTGTTAAAGTTTGGAACGGTCATGTTTCCCAGCACTAGGCAACTTTTTGGTCTCTGGCTGATATTCTGTCTGCACAGGCATAAAAACTGCAGCTTCTGTTTTTATACACCATCACCCAGTTTCTCACCATGAGACCACCACCGAGCCAACTCATAATTATTGCTGTTTTGATTTTGTGCTTTTGCCACCTGGAAATGTTTCTGTCTTTCTATCACGCACTGTAATATGTTTAAAAATAAATGAGGTTATAAGCTGTCCAGCATTTCTCTGTGTTTGGAACAGGAGATGAAGTGTAGGTCAGTTCAGTCCAATGTATTCCCAGAGGTCTGCTTAAATTAATTTTTTAACTGCATCTGTGATAAATGCTACCAAGAAAGGCTTAGCGTAGAAAAGAGGAACCTGTGTGTGTTTGAAGGGTAGAGATGCAAAGGAGTAGTCCCCGAAGAAGGGATTATTTTAAAGGGAGATCTGAAGGTGTATAAGCAACACTTTCATGCAGATGGAACAACGTATGTGGAGTTCCTGAGGAAAGATGGAGCTCTGAACGTTTCAGTACCTGAAAGAAGGCTAATGAAATTGAAACTCAAAAAACAAGGAGGCAGTTGTTCTAAAATGAGATATGATGAGGCAGACAGGTGCTAGATTAGGAAGGACCTCGTGGGCTATGTTAAGATATTTGGATTTTATTTTTATTTCCCCATATCTTCCCTTTCCTCTATCCATTAGTTCAGGCAGTATAATATTCTCTAACATGCGTATTCACATGTAAATGTAACATGTTAACAAGTTGTTACAACTGCTATGCTACTGTGCAGGGGTAGATGCTGCTTCCATCCTTTCTAAAAATACAAGTAAATATCCGATTATGAAACAATTTGAGGTACAAGGTTTTTTTCCTAAAATAACACTTTCAAGTAAACAAGATATTTTTATAGAAAATCTGAGAAAATTAGAAAGCTTATTTATCTACAATAGGCTTTTTGTAGTTCCTTTAACAGACCATTTTTAGTATGTTATGGACTACCAGTTTATTCATACAGATTTATGCCTTTGTGCCTTACAATTATTCAAGCTAAGATTTAATATATCTAAAATAACCTGGCCCTTTCTGAAAATCTACTTAATGAAGCTTTTGAAGGCAGAAGTATGCACATGCATATTTATTATGCTGGGCGAATAGAGATTACTTTTACCTTCACTCTTTGGAAATCCAGTTCAGAAATCATAGACACATTATGAAGTGTAAACCTTTGAGGTCCCTTATGGCCACAGGTATTTCCTGTAATGAAAGGTGTCAGTGCACTAAGTGTGGAGTAGCTCCTACGACAGCCATGAGCATCGGTCTTTTGCAACTTTCATGCTCTTGTATTTTGGCCATTGTATTGGGAGGTTTTCAGATTTGAATGGCACATGTGGATGGGAAAAATTTTCTCAGTATTAAAAATCATAGTGCTAGTTATACCAAAATAATAAAATATGAAAATCTCTTATTTTTCTTTCTGTTAAGGAAAACTCCTTTAAATATATATATATATATATATATACACACACACATTAAACTTGCCTGTCATACTGAAAATAGAATTGCAGCAGAACTTTTGAACTAGCTTGGTTGAAAATTCCTTTCACACAAAGGACAGTGAGAAAAGTACAGGACGAATTCACCATAGTAATATAAGTTATATGCTTTAAGAAATGCTTCAAACTCTTAAGTTTTTCAAATTGAAACTTTTCAAGAATACATTTAATCTAACATCTGTGAGTTTTAATTTTAATCTTATGAAAACCTTTGTTGTTTTGGTACTTATGGATGGAGAAAGACCCCGAAGTCTCAATTTGACTTTATCTAAATGTTACAGAATTTTAAAAACTTGGCCAGCATCATAAGCAAGGAGGCAGGTGTAAATACCACTGAACAATTCTATGGAAGATTCAGGGCATTTGAAACAGAGGGTGAACAGTGTGTAAATGAGCTTAATGGTGACTACATTGTCTTTGTTTTTATTTGCAGTAGTTATGATGATTAATGAACCACTGTTTCAGTCCTCAGTGTCTTACTTTCTGTTTTTTTGCCAAGTTAAGGGATCGTTTTGATGTAAAGAACATTTGTTCAGTTTCCTGAAACTATAACAATTCCAAGTTGGCAGACAGAGAGAGCAAACACGTAATTGTATTGCGTGGTGAACCCTGCTAGCGTGGGGACAGGAGAGGACCTGGGCCCAGCTCCACCCTCTGGGTTTACCCCAGGCTGTCTGGGCTAGGGAAACCCCATGGCTCCACATTAGTGATTTTTCTCCTTTTCTTGTCAACTACATGGATGGACTTTTTTTTAGGTAAATTTATCCAGAGACTCGCTGGTAATTTTGGCCAAGTAAGGGTCTATCGTCAAAACCATCAGTATTCTCAATATTTAACGATTGTAAACCAATTGGCATTATCCAGTCAGAAACAAAGCAACCACACACAAAAACAGGACGGCTGTGCTGGCCAGTGCCACTAAAGGACAGCCCTGTTTAACAGCCTGTTTCACTGCCTCAGTCACATTAAGAATGGTTTGGATTCCTGTGATCTTGTAGCCAGCTATTTTTCATGGAGAAATAAAATGTTTCAAGATAAAAAAATCCATGTGAAAGAATATTAGTTGTTATTTTTTTGGTATCAACTACTAAGAAGTTAATAATTCTGGTGAGACGCTTGAGGTCAGTGACCCGATCCCATTAATCTTTGAGACTTCAGCTACTGTCACAGTGCTGGACACCGTGGCACAGCGTGAACAGTCTCCATCATTGTGGAAATAGGCCATCGTTCTGTCCTCTTGGAATTAAGAATAGATCCAGAACTCTCAAATGAAAAACAAGTGGCTAATGTATTGCTGTGTGTAGCTCATCCTTAAATATGTGAAAATGGCAGATATTTATGTTTGTAAATGTTAAATTACAATTCTCAGAATCTCAGTAAATTTCTGAACTAGTCCTGAACTTAACATTAGTATAGTTAAGGTCAACTTCTGAAAGCTTTGTCAGTGTTCACTGATATTTAGATTCACGAGTCAAAGAGGTTCAAAAGAAAAAGCAATCTAACTATAAGGAACTATAAAATGTTAGCTCAGTTTACTTTTTGGAGTGGTGGGGAATTTTGAACACTGGGAGGCAGCCCTGTGATATACAATAACTCACCTTACAGAAAAAATTTCTGTGTACAAACATGAGTTACAGAATATTACAAAGGCTTATATTACAAAGACTAATTGGAAACCTGAGGGTGAAGAGGCAAAATGTTTTTTAGCTCACTACTGACATTGATAGACGACAGGGAAAATACTGCTGTGAATATGCTACATTGTAATTTTTGTTTATTATTTTCCTGATCAGGAACCTCTCACTGAAATTAACGAAAGACATCGATCAGGAAGCCAGGTGCTCCCACATTAGCCGCATGCCCAGCAGTCCATCTGCAGATTGGCCCCTGCAAGGCGTGGAAGAGAACGGAGGCATAGATTCTCTGCCTTTCAGACTGATGCTACAGGACTGCACAGCTGTCAAGACATTATTATTAAAGATGAAGAGAGTTCTGCAAGAGGTAATAGTTTATTCTGCAATTAATGTCTTCCAGTGCTAGTTGACAGTGAAGTCTGTAGGCCTGTGTAGTCCTCGGTTCTGTTACTGTTACAGGATAAACTCCCAGAAATTCAGTTCTTTTCTCCAATGCAGTAAAGAACTATACATCAGTGAGTCTGTTAGCGTGTAAGCAGGGTTTACTGGTGGTACATTCTCATGAGAGAGAAGGGGCCTAGTTAAGGTGCCTGGGGGTGGGGTCAGGAAAGGAATAGGTTCAGGGCAAAGCAGGATAAGGGTGGCCAAAGGCCAGGGTGTCAGGTGCAGGGGTGGTGATAGCCAGGGTAACAAGTGTGTACCTGGCCAGAGGCCAAGTGGCCTGAGGTCGTGTGGCCAGAGAGCCAAGAGCACCAAGCCCCAGGGTCCTTTGTTCTGAGGACTTAAATAGTGGGTGGGACAAGGATTGAGGGGGTTACAGATAAAGGTGATTCCAGCTTTCTTTGGGGGCAAGGGGTTGCATGGATACCCAGAGGTGTCAATGGGCTTCTTCCTTTGGACACTATGGTCCCCTTCTGGCCTTTCAGGCCTTGGGATCAAAGCCCAGTTTCAAAGGCTTTCTTTCCCATATAGTGGAGATGATAACATAGAATCCCAACGACTGCCCTCCTCCCATGTCAGCAGGTGCTTCCTGGGATGGTGGAGCACCTGGCAGTATCACGGACCAGGCCCGGGACCGCCGCATCAGTGGGCGGGACAGGCCTCCCTCCTCCTCACTGCCTTGCTCTGCTATCTGTCCTCCCTCACATGACTGATTAACTGCATGACACTGGACAGGGGTCAGGTGTCGTTTGGAGTTTAGTTTGTCTCATATATTAAATGAAGGATTTGGAGTTCTGCCTTGGAGGTACTCTTCAGCTCTGAAATTTTAATGTGCTCTGAAGAAATTAAGAAAGAATAATTGATACCAAGACTGGGAAAAATCAGGTAAAAAGAAATAGGCATTGGCTGCTGTTTATATATGCTACTATAGAGCTAAATAGAGACATATTAAATGAACTTCACTTCAAAGATATGGAGGCTTATTTATACAATACGCTAAAAGTTTAGTCATTTAGTTCCACTAGAAACGAACCCAGTGAAATGGAATCTGGATGTCTGACTGGTGTTTCCCCGTCAAACACAGTCACCCCACAGCCTGGTGCACAGGACGAGGAGTGGGGCCCGAGAGGGCGTAGGAGACCCTTCCACCTTTACGTCCCGGAGCCAGCTGTTCTCTACATTCAAGTGTGTTAGGGCTGTACTTTTGCAACCATCCCACTGGTTTTCTGTCAGGGATTTTTATAAAAAGTGTATGCATTAGCATACACTTCAAGACAACAGTCTCAGATTTCTGACTTCCGGTTTAGTGAATTTTTGGTATATACCATTGTCATTCATTTGATTTCTCTTTGTGGATAGGGGATACTCAACCATAGTGTGAAAAGAGCAATCAATAATATTATGGTTGACCTTACAATGATAACCACTGCCAATTGCTTTTCTCACACTTTGATAATAAGAGTGCTGGCTCCTACCACTAGAGGCCACAGTGGAATCAGGAAGAGAGAAGCATGTTTAGGAAAAGTGATTTCCACAGACTGTGGAAGACACTCAGTCACGTGTTATTCGCCCTTTAAAGCAAAAGCTGTCAGAGACCTCTCTATCTCATACTGTTATGGAACAGATGGGGCGGGGGGGCAATTATTGGCCCACCCAGGGATGCCAAAAATTGTTACAGAACAGATACACACACAGGGACAAGGCGGTTACAATATACTATTACCGAAAGGACCCCCCACTAGGTTCATTTGTCCACCGCCTTAGGAAAGATGTCTTTCAATGCCAGAGATTTGTGAAAAGGAAAGGAAATGTTTATTTAAAGATACACAAACTTAAAGTAGTGACCTAATATATTCATTAAAATATCTAAGTCCTTTTGGATACCCACAGACACCCACAGTGCTTCCTTCTCCCCTGCCCTAATTTGGGGTACCATAACTCAGGAAAAGAAGCAGGTGTCCATGATTCAGGCCACCAGCACCATCAGTTATGTTGCCATCTAGACAGGATCTCTGATTAATACAAAGCCATGTGGCACCTTCTCATTGCCTACTGGCAAGAGCTCTTTTACCCTTCTTCCAGGCAAAGTCTCTCCTGCTTCCCAGGCCATGTGGCCAAAGAGAGCACCCCAAAGCTGCATGGTCCTCTTCTACCAAAGCTGCAGGGGTCCCCACTCTGGCCAAAACCACATGGTCCTCTTCTTTCCACCAAAGCTATGGGGAACGGGGGATCGCCACTCTGCCAAAGCCAAGTGGCAGTTCTCTGCTGAAGCCACGTGGTGATTCTCTTCACCCAAGCTATGTCGCTCCCCACTCTGACAAAACCATGTGGATCTCTCCTTCAATGGCTGCTGTGTCTGGGTTTAAATCCTCCAGCCAGTCTTCCTCTGCAGCCCCATTTCTGACTCCTCCCACAATTGGCTACACTTGCCAGCACTCTCATATCTTTCCAGCTTTACTGGGCTGCCATAGTGGGTCCGGGCAGGTATGGCCCCATGTCGTGGAACCAATAACCTCCAAGCTCTCATGCAGGTGCTGTAACTTGGGGGACCTGCCCTCAGTTAGATCTTGTGGAAAAGTTCCTTTCCATCCCCCTGGCTCAGAGCATGGCCACAGCTATTTAACATATCTATGCAGCCAGTTAAAGGTTATAGATATGTTAAATTACCATGCCAGAGAGGTTAGCTGCAAAACTGTTGCTGTACAAAACAGCTCTCAATGGCCCTGCTCCATTTGTCCCTTCCCCCAACTCACACCTGTTAAGGGGAAGGGTGAGGACATCTTATATAATATTTCCTGGATACCTTGAGTTCTGGACCCCATTCCAAATCCCTTTTGGGGGCCCTCTTCTTGGCTGCACCTTATAATAATACCAGTTACAGTTATTGGGTGGTCTCTTTGTCTGGAATATATGCAGTGATGTGCATCAGTGGTGTGCTTATACTTGGTCACTGAATTTCAGGAATGGTAAGAACTGGCAGTTAACACAGGCATAGAAAATTGTATACATTCTCAATGAAACAAAGTATATTTTTAAAAGTGTAATCAGAACCCAAACCTCATTTTCTATTTATTTTATTACATTTAACTATTAACTATATATATGAGCTTATTTGTATCTATTGGGTGTATATATGGAAATTCTATATAATAGCTACTGTGCATATTGCCCAACTGTAGAATCAGTCGGGCCATTTTGGTTCCTTAAAATCAGCCACATGGGAGTATTATGCCACAGAAATTGGCAAATTCTATAAATTAGGGCATTTAATTTTTGCTGAGCCTTTTGTTAAATATTTACCAACACACCACTATCTGATGACTGCACCATTTCTACATAAGCATCTTCCTGCACTTGTGGGATCTCCCTGACCTTTGGCTTAACATGTAGTCTGAATCTCTTTGAACAGGGCAAACTTAACAACAGCTGTTATATTAAAAGATCATCAATAAATCAACAACTGTCAGCAAGGATGTAAAGAAAGTGGAACTGATTTGCACTGTTGATGGGAATGCAGACTGGTGCGGTCACTGTGGAAAACAGTATGGAGATAGTTCAAAAATTAAAAATGGATCTGGCTTTTGACCCAGCAATCCCACTTCTGAAAATATATCTGAAGAAATCCAAAACACTAATTTGGAAGAACATAAGCACCCCTATGTTCATTGCAGCATACTTTATAATCTCCAAGATAGGAAAGCATTCCAAGCATCCATCAGTAGATGAGTGGATAAAACAACTATTTCACATTTACACAGTGGAATACTACTCAGCTGTAAAAAAAAAAAAAAATTAATTCTTTGTGACAAAATGGGTGGACCTGGAGAACATAATGCTCAGTTAAATAAGCCAGTCAGAGAAAGACAAATACCATGTGATTTCACACATACATGGAATCTAATGAACAAAGTGAACTAATGAGCAATAGAGAGACAAATTCATACATAAAGAGCAGGATGACAGCTAAGGGGGTTAGGAGGATGGTGGAAGGATTGCATAAAAAAGGAAGAAGAACTCATGGGCATGGAAAGCAGTGTGGTGGTTGTGGCAGGAAGGGAGGTATAAGGGGACTAAATGGTAATAGAAAAAATACAATAAAATAAGATATTAATCTTAAAGTTGGTAACGTTAAACTATTCAACTTTCTACATCTTTCTTTAGTCTAGATTTTAATTTAAAAAAAATAATACAAATAAAGAGAAGTAGAAGAACTCACAGGAAGAGCCAGGAGGCTTTTTCAGGGCACTCAATTCACTACCAAGTCAATATTCAGAATATATTGAGGTTGTTTTTATACTTATGTGTTTTAACTTACCTGTTTTTCTCCATGAAAAAGTATTTGAAGAAACTGAAGAGAATTGATTTTTAAAGCAGACGTGTGTACAATGAGCAATAATCACAGTTGTTTGTTAAGCCCATTCAGAGAGCAGGAGTCTTAAATTTTTTATGGTCAACAAGAAAAGCAGTATTATAGTTAATGTAGACAAGTGTTCTAGTAATAAGAGGTTCATACAGGATGCCTTTAAATAAAGAGGTTTATTGAAATATTATTTAAACCAGAATTTTCAATGGTATAAAGGTACATATCATTTAAACTAGGAATTATCAGTGGTATAATGGTAAAATGGTATTTTCACTTCATTGCTATGTTTGAGTTGAATACTAACAATTAACTTTACTTTTAAAATATCATTTTAATATAGAACAGTAATGTTTATTCCTATTTTATGAACTTATTTTGTTGCATAGTAGTCTGATTTTAATATACATATTATTTTTTAACTGCAGAAGAACTCAGTGTCATGCTAGAATATGCTCAGAATTTTGCCTAATGGTATTCAGTTGACATATAGGATTTTAATTTTAAGATGGATCAAGTGTGAATAATCCGAATGAAATCTCACACTCTGATGTTGCCCCCTTTTT